ATATATTTTCTAATACGTTTGATAATTTTATCTTGAGTTAGCTTGCTAGAATCTTTTACTAGATCACCTTTCCCACTCGCTCTTTCTCGCAGCGAAACTCGCGGATCTGTGAAGATGTATAATCAAGTGTGCAATAGAAATAATATACGTTCTCCTTCTCTTGGGCGCAGTCGACCTGCAGGAAAAGTATAACGAGAGAGACAGAGACAGAAAAGCGACAGGTCGAAGAATTCGAGTCACACCTAGAGGACCTTCCCTGTCGACGTGAAAAAATCGTGGAACGCGATGACGAAACATAAGCCGAGAATGTCTCCTCCGGGTTCCTCCTCCGTATTTTCTTCATCTTCAAAGTGCAATCTCATGTTGATAGCTCTCTCAAGATAAATTTCTTTAATATAGTTAATACATAGTAAAAATTCTATGTTTAAGAAACAGTTAATTGTGAACAAAAAAGTCTCACATTACATGTTTGTTAATTCGTGGCTTTATAAAAATTTTTAAATAGTTACCCGAATAATTCCCTTTCAAGAAATCACTTACGTATGCGATATAAATTCTTATTACATTATATTTAAACATAAAACTTTCTGAAAGATAGCAGGTCTCGTTCGCACACGTAATAAAATTTTTCACCGACATGTCGTGCGACATTTCACGAATGTTTCGCGGATTTTACATAGCAGCTCTCATTACGTTATAATTTGCATAATATAATGGAATTTTTCAGTACATGTATTACCTGCTTAACGGGAACTTGCATAATGTTCTATTTATTGCATCGATATATATTACAATGTGTATAAATAAAATAATGTCTCCGACTACGAAATACATTCGTTTCGCTATTATTAGAATAGGCAGATGCAAACGGAAAGGTCACCAAGACCTTTAACTGAAATTGTGCACTAATAAACTTTACTTGATAAAGAAGATTCATCCGCGAAATTAATGGCCTTTCTGAAGACAATTAATAACTTTTTTATTATTTTCACTCATTTTTTATACATCATTTTTAATTTTAATTTATTAATGCAATACAATAGTGTAATTGTTAATTTTAGATTCTAAAATGACGATTAGAGGGCTTGAAAAATGTAAGAATAAAAAAATATTTCTTTTACGTGAAATAGAGAATTAATAAAAATTTCGTAAAACTTTATTTTGCTGAAATATTGCATGACCCATGTTAACATTTAATCGTACGCCGCTTTGCAGCTTAGCCGGTGTAAGGACGTTGTCCTTTGACAATCATTAAGGTGAGAGAAAGGCGATTCCTCGCGACGGAAATTTCGTAACGACACACTCTGATTTTCTGACGGACACAATTGTAACCGCTTATCATACATCTCGTGACCTTATAATTTATTAAACTTTTTATCAAAATTTCTCACATTTTTCTCAATATATTTTCTAATTAATTATATTTTTTACTAATATAAATATTAAAACGCACTTATAATTGTTCTTACAGTTTTGTATCATATATAATTTTCAAACTTTTATTTTTTATAAATTTTTATTTTATATCGGATATGTACATATTTTACTTTTTAAAATTTTTTCTTAGTTCTCTGAATTTATGTTTTTATTTCGAATAAAAAATATATAGAAAAATTATATTTGTTTTTGCGCGCGATGACCAAATTATATTATTTGTTTTTATGACATCAAAATTGGAAATTGAAATGCTTTTGCATCGCACGTGGTAGCCTCGAGCGGTCGTCCATCGTTGATCTTTCACGCGTGCCTAATCGCAGGGCTTGTTGACGGCATGTTTTTCTGGAAAGGTCGAGGCCAGCTCGCGAATACCTTCCTTTCTCGACCCGCAAGCCTTCCGTAATATGGAAATTATGCGATTATCTCTCTCTCTTTCTCTCCCTTAATGTTCTTCTACCGCAAATCATTATCGCAATCATTTCGCGAATGTGAACGCTTGCAATTCAATTCCTATTTGTTTTATATCTTACCGCTTTATTGCTTTTTTCTTGGTGAGATAGTAATCGAATAGACTTATGTGATGAAGATAGAAACGTGTAAGCATTTACTTTAAGTATATTTAAGTAGCTACATCTTGTATTCCTTGTTTTGCGTTCATAACGTTTGAAATCGAATGTTTCTTCGATCTCTCGCAGAATCGTAAATGTAAACGGGTGTGGCAGCAGAAAAGCAGCAAGAAAGCAGCGGGAAAGTGATGTTTTTTCGCCGTCTTATTTAAGAACGAACCAATTTTCTTGATCTTAAATTTGAAACAAATTATTATAATTGCATAAAATAATTTAATATTCGAAAATGCTCGAATTATTGTGAATTTTTGAATGGCAAGCCACTTCACTAGAGATCTTCATTAAAGACATTTCTTTATTTGTATTTTGTAAAAAATAATTATTCTCTTCTCAAACAATTTTTAATCAAAATAGTACAAAATAGTATTTTTAATATAGCAAATTATTATAATTCAATCAATAATAATACGAAGGAAATATTCTGATTATGAGAAATATTTTCATATATACTTTATTCTATCTTTATTTTGATCTTTATTTGTTTGAAATCCTTGATGATCTGATAGTTAATTTTTTCCAGAGATAATGATTTTTTTATCATGATAAAAAATTTTTTTTCTCACATCATAATGATTTGATTGCATTCTCGGCTAAATGCAATCAAGTATGTATTCGATATCTTTCCCACTTCGATTCGCCTCACTTTTTACATTTCACCAGGACCTTTTGCCGCTTCACATATTCTCCCAACGTAACACACACGTCGCGCATTATTACGTAATTCAAGTTTTGCGCCTCGTGTTCGAGTGAAACGTACAAGATTCTCTTCGCTACTTTCGATGCCCGATTGTCCGTTTCTAAACGATTTCTCGAATTTCCAAATCCAAAAACATCCGGCTTATACGAAATACTCTTTGCTTAAAAAATAAAATAATATCACAATTTCTATTTAACAACAAAATATCTCCAATTATATTCTGCCAAGTTTTTTAAGCGTAGAAACATTGACGACAAAAATGTCGCAGATATTATTTACATATATTTACATAATTAGCATGCAATCTTACAACAGTTATATGATCATTATATTATCGCTCTATGACGCTGCTATTATATAATATCATTGCGTGATTATATAGCCATTTGTTTATATAATTATTATATAGTAATACATGCTGCAATTTTATAATTCATTAATTACATATGACATATGTGGATAATTCGAAAGATACTTTAAGTTATCTGAAAATTCTTTTTTTCTTCTTTTATTTTTTCCCTTAATAATTTTTCATCATTATTTCTTCTGCGCAATCAAGCGCAAAATTCCGATTACGAAGAAAGATCTGAAAAAGATCGTTGCGGTTTACGATGTTCTCTTTAACGTGCCATCTTTTCTTCCAACAATGCACCATCGAAAACGAGAGGAATGAAATAGAGAAGAGAAATTGATCACGCAATAAATATCGCTTTGAAATATGCTGAGCATAACATTATCTTATTTTATTTTTTTACTGTACATTATTAAATGAAATTATTAAATTAATTAAATGTTTATTAAATATTTTTAAATAAAACTATAATATATAGAGAGATATATAAAATATATGTACAATATTAAAATATATGTACAAATGTGTACAAAGAACTAATATTATTAATATATATTTCGATATCGAATAATTAGAATCATTTAATTAAATCACTTAATTGGATTTATAAAATATATAAGTTTGTAAAGTTATAAAATTTATAAGTTATTCATAGTTATATTATTTTAAGAACTTAATTTTTAAAATTTACTATATTATTTTAAGAATTTCTATACTTTTTCAATCATTGAAATCTTTGATATCGTTATTGATGAAAATTCGAAATATTTAAATTCTTAAAGCTTGATTTAAAAAGATCTTTTATTACATTAAAATATATTTCAGGTCGGAGACTTCAATGCTAGAATAGACTCGAAAATATATTTCAGGTCGGAGACTTCAATGCTAGAATAGACTCGAAGTAGTATATTAAATCTATCTATTTATTATTCAAAGATTATCCCATTTAATTCTTAATTTATTATCATCAATACTTTCATTAATAATGTACATTAATAATTATAAACATGTAATAATGTCGAGATTAGGACAATTTATCTTTCTGAATGCGTGAAAATTAGGGCAAGAAACACTCGCTCAACGCGTAGTATAGTCACGATCTAATAAATCTGTTAAACGGCGCAGAAGATTGCTTAGCGGGTTTGAAAAAATTGGAGAAGATATGCCTTAGCGCACGTTCTCTAAAGGAGTGGAAAAATGCGTGTGTTCCAGTTACGTGCCGACATATCGAGCAGTGGGAGTTCGTCGGCCATCTTGACGCCGCCGCCGGTTATCAAACATGATGTATTTTGTACAACACGTTTCTCTTCATGACTCAATCACGCTCTAATTCCTCACAACGATCTTGGATTGCTAGAAACGCACCTCTCAGATCTTCTCGTTTATAATTCACTCTCTTTGTCCTTTGAAGAACCTGGAGAAGTTGGAGAACGCGTGCTGCAATCTGGTGAATTCCACATAAACCGCCTGAATTGCATTATTTTCGCGAACAGTTTACCATCGATGGCAATTTCGCATAAAATTAATTTCTTAGCGCGAGAGTCTACTTAACTTTTTATATATTTATTTATTTTTAATGTATTTATTTTCTTCTTTTCTATTAACATTTATTAAAATTTTATTTTCCATAATAAGTTTCTCAAATGTAGGTGTATTTTTTATTTACTTATATTTATTTATAAATATTGAATTGGAATAATTAAAATTAAAGTATAAAAAATATATAATAGAGTGTCTACATTCATTTTATTATTTTATGTATATTTATTAAATTTAATCATTTAGGTTTAATCTAAAGTTACAAATTTGTTTATAGGATTAGGAAGTGAATGCATGATATAGAGAGAAAATAACTAAATATTATATGATTAATGATTTATTTCTTTACTCATTTATTTATTTTATCTTAAACGTCTTATCTCTCAATAAAACTGCTTATTGGCAAATTTTCAATTTAAATTCGGATTGAATATTGCACAGATATCGAAAATTGGTAGAAGACAATTAACATGGTAATTTATTACAAATGTTATACTATATTGAAGTTCAATCGATACGCATCCTTAGTACAAGGCTTGAATTCTAAAAAACTTCTCGTTAATTAGCTGAAACAAAAAATGCATTTTTTCAATTTAAATCATTGCTTTAAATGTTTATATTTATATAGCATATACTTCATTTTTGTTAATATACGAGAGTTGGAATGTAAAATCCTTTAATATACATTAGGAAAGAGAGATCGTACCATTTGGCAATGTTGAAGGGCCTACAGGAGTCCGATGGCTTATCATATGAAAAGCCCGTTGAACACCTCACCATTTGAGGCTTACTGTTCCTGCAAACTACAACGTTAGTGCAGGCATCATTAAGTTTGTGCACGTCGCCATTGTTACACGTAGTATTCGCCAACTCGCTTGGTATCACCTGGAACAGAGGCCACGAGTTCACCAGATCGGACGTTTCGGTCACGATAGGCGTGGGCCGATTGTTTAATAGTTGATTATCGGTCGCTTCTTGAGTGGGATTTTCTTTGTTGATCTCCAGCTGGAGCGCCTGTGATCGCTGATGCCAGGGATCAGACTCGACTTTGCCCAGCCAAGGATTCCTGGAATACGAGGGGGGCGGTGGTGGATAAGGCTGCGGTTGATAGATCGGCGGTTGAGGAGGATAAGCCGGTTGTGGGGGATAAATGGGTGGTTGTGGGGGGTTGGTGGGAGAGGGTTGCGAAGGTGATTGCGAGATCTGAGTCGGTGATTGCGAAGGTTGAGTCGGCGGTTGTGAAGTTTGAGTCGGTGATTGCGAAGGTTGTGTCGGTGTTTGTGAAGATTGAGTTGGTGGTTGGGTAGGCTTTGGTGGATTCGGCGTGGCCGCGCCTTTGCAGTCCACATTGCGTAGATAATCGCAAACATTTAGTACCTGAAACATGAAATCTTAATTATATCATTTATTTCTTTTTTAAAAATAAATTCATCACATATCTATAATAACCTTATAATTTTCTATAAATATATATATATTTCTATGAAATATATTTTACATCTATAAATAAAAAAAATTTGTTATGTTTCAACAAAGGATCAAAAAAATTTAATTAAAATTAACACAAAATGCATAAATGGTCCAAATGATAAATCAATAATAATAATAAAGTAGACTTATTTTAAACCAAGTAAAGCGCAGGTGGTAATGCGTGACAAATAATTCTATAATTTTTAAAAAAATCCTATAATATTTATTTTTAAATATATTTCAGTAATTTTAACTTATTAGGTTCTTAAATATCTTTTAAAATATTTTTTAGAACCATAACATATGAAATTTTAATAAATAATAAATTAAATATATATGTATAAAATCTATTTTTTCGCACTTTGCATAATTAAGCTATTTTAGAAATTGATAAAAGTATGAAGAATAATGCAGAAATAAAATATCAAAATATCGGATTTTCTTTTCAAATTTTTATGGCGTGTTTTGAAAATACTTAAAACTACGCAAAAATTCATATAACTTCTTTTATATATATTATATATTATTAATGTGTACTAAAAGATATGATATGATATTTGGTTTAGAAATAATTATAAAATCTAGAAATCAAATTTAATTTATCTTTTTTAGCAGGACTTTATATTAAATAATTTCTTAATTATAAGTTTTATTATAAGATTTTTCTCGCGGGGTCTATTTTAAGCAGCATGCCGTTTCGCGACTTAAAATTCCGCGAGCGTTTACGGCGCATTTTTTAAACTGAATCCTTACGTCATTGTAGACCAGACTGCGAGGACAGCTGAATTTGGTCGGTTTGCCCGCGACGCATACGTAGAATTCCGAACAGTTGGTCGAGCTTCTGTAACGTTCGTTCGGATCCGGGCAATATTTCGATTCTGGCGGTAATGATGGTTCTGCCAAACAGAATTTATCTCTTTATTTTTTCCATTATTATTAATATCAATATAAAGCATTAAATTAAAAAAAAATACTAAAAAATATAATTTATTCTTTTATTTTTCTTTGTTTAATTGGACTATTTAAATGGAGAATTACAAAGAGATTATTGTAAGATCCTTAGCAAGGATAATAAAAAATTAGATATGTCTAATTATATCAAAATTATTATGTCAAATTATTATGTCAAAATGATATTGACATTTGGCTTTTCGCAAGTAAGTCCACTCTGAGAACCACTGATCGAATAGACGAAATCGCGATCAAAGGACGATCGAATTGGCTGTTGGGAATCATCGTAAATGAACCATTCGCGCCGCAGGATTCTCGATCGCACTCACTCGGCGTGGCGGGCGGTCGATCGCCGCAATTGACGTTGAAAGGGAAGTCGCAGTAACCGGCGACATCGTTGAAGAGCAAGCCGTTCAGGCAGGTTTGCTCGATCACCACGTCGTCCCAGCAATTCAGATAATTGGCGCAGCTTTTCGGGCTCGGGTACTGGCCTCTCGGACCCTGGCAGCCCGGTGGAGGCTTCTGCGACGGTGGTATCGGCGGCAAGATGGGACTCGGAAGCTCGTTTGTGTCACCAGGATTGCTCGGAAGTCCCGGGTATTGCTTGCTCAGAATGGCTTCGTCATGATTCAGCGAAGCGTTCCTCAAGATCTCCGAGCGGTCGTCCAGTTTCTGGATGTCAAAGTTTTCCCACAGAGTCTCTACTTCTGAAATTTGATTGGGCGCGCGAGACGCTTGTAACGACGGCCTGATATTAATTTTATTAAGATATTAATTTTCTATTAATTGAACGAATTTTGTAATTAAGAATAGTAGAGAAACAGAAAATAAGATAATTTACAAACAACAAATAGCTATAAAAATATTATTATAAATAATTCTGCAAGAGCGACAAAATTAAGGATCTTTAGATATTGTTATGTCAAGGACATAACAATATCTAAAGATCCTTAATTTTGCTTAACGTTAACGTAACACACGTCGTAATGTTACGTTATCGTTACCGCAGTCATGCAGGAAGCTCTCGTGAAACTCGAGACTCTCGACCCTGAAAGCATCGGCACTGACCTTCAGGTTGCCCAACGAAGGCGAACTGTCTATTGACGAACGACGCCGGCGTCGTCGTTACCGTCGCCGTCGTGGATCTGACTCTTCTTCTGGCCGCATCCACGAGTCCTAGAGCAAGGACCACGATCAATGTCACGTTCACTTTCATCTTTTTTGTGATGTATTCTTCGTCTTTCTCTCTTGCATCGACGACAGTTGGTCGATCTCCACCAGGACGAAGGGGTACTCTTCCGAAGATTCCCTTCCAAAGCTATCTTCCTCGCGGATGATCCGAATCGAAGGATAATCACTGACAATCGGCGGCGCGAGTCCTGACGCGCAGTGGAGTCCTGATGCTGGATGAACTGGACCTGGTCGCTTCCAGGGCCTTACATAGGGCGGCCCCCACCGCCGCCAAGACTCCTCCAAGGGATCGTAGGACCTCAATTACACGGCGGTGCCGCAGCACAGGACCCTCTTCTTGTTGCGCAGGAAGTGCTCGCAACAGTTGCTTTCGCATTGATCCTCCTTCTTTTCGTATCTCCCTCCCCTACTTCTTACCCGAGAACTCCTCATTGGACGAGATTTAGGATGCACCCGAAGGATGCATGCACGCTCGCGATCATCATTCGTCCTCGGAGCTGCTTTTTTTTCGTCGTTCCTTGCGAATAGAACAGGCGCTGGATATTGTTGCCGGATTTAGGACTTTAACCCTTCCAGATCGGTTGTTTAATGCATTAAACATGCATTCCAAAAGCTCGGTCGAGGTTTTAAAAATCTTCATCTGTCATATTGTCGCGAGGGAATCGACAGTACTAAGAATACCTTGTTGATTGTTTTTCAACTTATTAATTTTATTTCTTGGAAAACGAAGAAGGAACAGACATAAAAAAAATTGAAGATACTATTTTAGAACTTCTCATTATTGATTTTCATTATCATTATCAAAGTTAATTCGTTCATTTTAATGGAAAAATGCAACTGCACAGATTTTTTTTATGATGGATTTTGATTCTTAAAAAAAATTTTATATTTGGAAATAAATACATAAATTTTTCACAGGAAATATCATAAATACTTTATCAAAGTATTTTTTTTCTTCCAAATTTATTGTTTAATTTATTGTCACAATATTTTGCTAAATTTCTTTCTATTCACATTTTTCCTTATAAGATTTTTTTATTATATTATTGTTACAAAAATCTCTGAAAAATTCGTCAAAAATTAACGACACGGATCAGTTCGATTGATCGATCGTGGCGATTTGACCGTCTGCGTGGTTTCCTGTGTGACCAAAATGAGTATCCTGCGGCTCAGAAGAGAAGAGGAAAAAATTCCACACCTGCAAGATTTGGAGGGGGAGAAGGGGTGAAGCGCACCGGTATGCAAAGGTGGACGCACTTTCGAGAGGACTCGTTACGTACTCGTTACCCGAAAGAGTGGGTCCTGCGTATGGATGTTGCAGGCATGAGTATGTAGGAGGCCGCTATCGTCTTCCTCGGCAGGGCTCATCGTCCTTTTTATTATCCGTTTGGATAAGAGATTCGACGGAGCCGGCAATAAGGAAGAATCCGGTCGAAACGGCGAGAACGGTCGATGAGAAAAAGAAAAGATGACCATGTCCACGTAATCCTGGATTCCGCCGACTTCTCGAATCTCCTTTTGCCTTTGAATTTCACGTGGTGATCCTGAGTCACGCGCGATGACCTCGCCGCTGCCTTCTTCAACGTGTCAGCGAAATCTGCGATATTTGAGGACTCACGTAATCGCGCGTATTTTTTTTGCATGCAAAACATCGGAACTCTTACAGGATTGGAAAAGAATGAGTGTATAGGTGTGTGCCTTGTGCGTTTTTAATCTGGCTTAATATTGATGGAATTTTAATCGTCTTATTCATATACTTTGATTAGGATATTATTTTACTTTATAAGCATACATAATATTGATTTTATTTAAATGGATTTTAAGAAATTTAACAATGGTAAAATATATTATAATTATTTCTTCTGATGATCTACAAATTAAATATATATATATTTTTAAATAGGATTAATCTTTTTATTATGTGAATATTTAATGTTGAAATCTTAATCATAATTTATAATTAATTATATTAATTATATAATTTATAATTAATTATAATTTATATATAATATATATGGATTAATAATATAATTAAAAAATATATAACTTAATTTAGTTAAAAATAGAAAATATATTAATTTGATTTAATTTCAAATTAAATTTAAAAATTTGTAGTTGTTACGAATCTTTTTTTAATTTTTAAATAACTATTTTTTATTTATTTAATTTTTTATTTTTTACATTTAGCATATTTTTATTCTTATATTTATCATGCAATAATTTATAAATTAAATGCTTAAGCAATTTTATAACTTATTTAAAGAGATGCGTTTTAATTTAAAAGTGATAGAGCCTTAATAAGAATCTCAGGTTTCTCACAATGGTCGTTCGTAGAGACATATGACTTTGACATATGACATCAAAGTCACAAGAATGATACCCGAGATAATCCTCTGTCTAATTCAGTCAATGCTAATATTTACATCCCGCATTCGACGAAGCGGTTACTTCTTGAGTTTTCGTCGTCTTCATCATTCGTGTCCGGTTGTGTTCTCATCGTTGTTTTAACTCGAGCGGTAGTTTGGTTAAACCGCACAGGACGAGAAATTACAGAGGGATCTAGGATGGAATGTTGACAGGACAGAGAAACAAGGCGGGAATTCCCGTCTGCTAAATCGCGAGATTGATTTGATGGAAAAAGAAACGATTAATCCTTAACAAGACCCTTGTACAAAATGCAACGAACGAGAAACAAATCATGAATTATAAAACAAATTGAATTATAAATTGCAAAAGTACGCGCTTTTATTAAATTGTTATCTATTCTAATTTATATATTAGATAATAATTCTTTTTAATAATTTATATATATACATTAAATTTTTCTATGCTTTAATTATTATGTTAATTACTATGTGATCACGCTCTGAGAATTATTTTTATCCTCGTCGAATGCTGTTAATAGCGTAACAATGTTTTTCGTGTACGAATACTAAATCGCTCTCAATAAATTTAAAGTGGTTTACACAGTACGCCACTTAGTTTTAAATACGAGAGTGATATCTTCGCTGAAAACTTGCGTGCACGCTTTCTTTTTTAAGTTTCTTTCTTATCGAAGAAGAGATTAGAGATTTCTTATACTTGTTACGATTTTTATTTAATTAAACTACTTTTTACATTTTTTACTTCTAAAAAAATTTGTCAGATTTTTATGATTTTTATTTATTTAACATTTTTATTTTTGATAATTTTATTTAACTTAAGAAATTTTATTTTATTGAGATACTAAAAAGAGTAGTAACACAAATTTATTACTTTATTTAGCTTTAAAATGAAATTAAAAGATATAAAATAAAAATGATTTGATTGGATATATATTTAACGTTATAAATATAAAGTATTGCGAAAAATTTCTATCTTTAAGATGTCTCGGCGAGACATAGATCTCACAGCGGGGAACAACTAAATTTAGATTCTCTGGGAGCAAATTTTATGGCTATATAGGAGCAAACCTGGTGAATGCCCTAGCATAGAAATTCACTGGAGAACATCGGGCATAGAAATTCACTGGAGAACATCGGGAATATTGTTTCTCATTGTTTAAAATTGATAGATTTCGATATTATTAAATTAGAATATGAAACTTCAATTGGTTATTATAATATTATCAATAGAAATATAAGAGATATATGTATTATAATAATTAATATTACAATTATTAATATAATAATTATTAATATAATAATAATTAATATAATAATTAATATAATATTAAGTCCAACATATTTTAATATCTATTTTATGATTTAAATCAGCTTCAACAACAACGTTTACGTACAACGCTTTTATCTACTAAATATATTTTTAGTACCAATAAATTTAAATACATTTTATATACATTTTAATAAATTTTATATTTATTTAAAGATAACAAAAGAATGGATTTTATTCTAGAATTTTGCATAAAAGCACCAACTCGAACCAAAGTTTTGTTCCGCGTATGTGTTCCGCTTGCGCAATGAAACTCGAAAAACAGGTTGGGAAACACGTCGCGTATTAAAGCAGGAACCGATCCGAAATAACGTTAAAAATGCAGGCGCTGAGCGATGATACTGCACCGCTCATTCAAATTCACTTTGGCGCAGGTTAAAGTGTATGCACTGCGAGAGTGCGTCTGACATAGGTGGTCTTTTACTACTCTTACGCGTTCATAATTCAGGGCTCGATGATAAAGCGCAGCCCGGAGGAATACAAGCACTTAACGCAATCGTCTGACGATAACTGTTTTAAACGGTATTATTGCTATCGAGGCGAAACGCACGTCGGGCAATTGCCCTCGCGATTACGCCAAATTATTCTCGCAATTCTTTACGCACTTTTTTGCGGTAATTTGGATAAAGACGAATAAAAGTCTTACGCAATTATCGTTTGATTTCAAATTTCATTGAGTAGAATATTTTTAAAGAATTTAGGATGAACACGTAATCAAAAGATATCGTTAATTTAAAATATTTATAATCAATGTTTAATTTTTTTTGTACAAAAATTATTTAAGTCTTTTTTCTATTCGATGCAGGAAAGTATATTAAGCTAAAATTGTGATATATTTTTATTTTGGTTTGATCGAAGTAAATTTTGAAAAAGAAAGAGAGAAACAGTTTGAAATGCAAAAGATAGCAGATGAAGGATTGAAGGGAATGATTTTTTTCAGGGGATCGAAATGAGAGAAAAACACAGAGGCGATTTGGGAAGGTCGTTTATTCTTTCCCTCGCAACCAGTTTTTTCTGACTAATGTCGGGGCACAATGACGTCAAAATCTGTTCGCAGCCCAAGGCGGAGGGTCAAATTTGCATAAATAACACAAGTGGTCAAAACGAGCAGTGCGTTGCAGGATCGACGATAAATATTGCCCGTAGGTGGGATTGAAGCAATAAATTCATGTAGCTCTCGTTATTTTTGTGTGAGACGCATAGAGAATAACTCAAAAATCACTCAATTTTAAAATGATTTTTTGTTTTTTTACATAATTTATCAAATTTTCATGTAAACTTTTTTTAATTATGTAAAATTATTTCTATGTACAAATTTCTATAATTATATACAAATTTCTATAATTTCTTTAATTATGATATTTAATTATGATGATTATGAACTTTTAAATTACATAATAATTTCTTATCCTTCTGCAAGCGTGTGATTCATTTTTTTAGTTTTTTTCTACAGTTTATGAATTCTGTTTCTGGCACATCCTGCATCGAGAAACGGCCCTTTATTTCGTATTTAAAGATTTAAATTTCGCGAGGATGGCCGACCGGTTCGTTAGAAGTATTCCTTTTAATTACAATTCTTGTGTACGTGTTCCGGAGATATACGATAAAATAGTGATATGTAGGCTACTGCC